CCGTCCCTGGGGGGCTGCGATCTGCGACACTGTCGCCACTTTCGAGGGCTGCTGGTGGGTCCTGCGGAGTGAGGCACCGCGGGGATCTGAGCGAGACCTCGCCGTCCCTGGGGGGCTGCGATCTGAACGCTGTCGCCACTTTCGAGGGCTGCTGGTGGGTCCTGCGGAGTGAGGCACCGCGGGGATCTGAGCGAGACCTCGCCGTCCCTGGGGGGCTGCGATCTGCGACGCTGTCGCCACTTTCGAGGGCTGCTGGTGGGTCCTGCGGGTGAGGCACCGCGGGGATCTGAGCGAGACCTCGCCGTCCCTGGGGGGCTGCGATCTGCGACGCTGTCGCCACTTTCGAGGGCTGCTGGTGGGTCCTGCGGAGTGAGGCACCGCGGGATCTGAGCGAGACCTCGCCGTCCCTGGGGGGCTGCGATCTGCGACGCTGTCGCCACTTTCGAGGGCTGCTGGTGGGTCCTGCGGAGTGAGGCACCGCGGGGATCTGAGCGAGACCTCGCCGTCCCTGGGGGGCTGCGATCTGCGACGCTGTCGCCACTTTCGAGGGCTGCTGGTGGGTCCTGCGGAGTGAGGCACCGCGGGGATCTGAGCGAGACCTCGCCGCCCCTGGGGGGCTGCGATCTGCGACGCTGTCGCCACTTTCGAGGGCTGCTGGCGGGTCCTGCGAAGTGAGGCACCGCGGGGATCTGAGCGAGACCTCGCCGTCCCTGGGGGTTGCGATCTGCGACGCTGTCGCCACTTTCGAGGGCTGCTGGTGGGTCCTGCGGAGTGAGGCACCGCGGGGATCTGAGCGAAGCCTCGCCGTCCCTGGGGGGTTGCGATCTGCGACGCTGTCGCCACTTTCGAGGGCTGCTGGTGGGTCCTGCGGGGTGAGGCACCGCGGGGATCTGAGCGAGACCTCGCCGTCTCTCGGGGGCTGCGATCTGCGACACTGTCGCCACTTTCGAGGGCTGCTGGTGGGTCCTGCGGAGTGAGGCACCGCGGGGATCTGAGCGAGACCTCGCCGTCCCTGGGGGGCTCTGGACAGCTGCTGTGGGATGCGTTAGGCGCAACGGGCGCATGGCACAGCCAACGGGGGTGATTTGTGAAACAGACCATCTGCTGGACGATGGCCATAACGTTGCGCCTACACGTATCCCGCGGGGGCTCTCAAGAGCTGCTGTGGGATACGTTGGGTGCAACGGGCGCGTGGCACAGCCAACGGGGGTGATTTGTCATTACGTAGTCCTCAGATCTTGATCGGGGGCCTGCGAGCCTTCCGATTGCTGTTCGCAGAATCACATGCGCCCATGTTACGTCATCGCCCCCGCTGTGTTCATCCTCGCGTATGTATGCCCCGCATTGCGCACGGGTTGGGTACGTCGCCAGGGTAATCTGAAGGTTGGGGTTGTTTCCAGTCCCTTCTGGGTGGACGGCGCGCTGGGCCGAAGCACCATGGGGAAGTCTTGTGGAAAAAAAACCAAACCCAAGGACGATAAGGTCCAACATGCCAGGCTCCCCTGTGGCAAGCCATCAGGGGGCGGCGGATCGGATGGCCTTCGGCCTATTCCGCCACCGTGTTTGTGTTTGGGTCGTGGGTCAGAGTTCTCAGGGATGCTTCTTTGGGTCTCTTTGGAGCGCTCTCGGAGGCCTCTTGAGGGCAGTCGTGGGGCTTCTTGAGAGCATCTTGGTGGCCTCTTGGGGGCCTCCAGGGGCTTGGGCGCCTCTTGGGCCGCCGTGGGGCCCTCTTTGGCCGTCTCGGTGACCTATGGGGGGCCTCTGGGGCCGTCTTGGGGCGATCTTGAGGGCCTCTTGGGCCGTCTTGGAGCGTCGGTGAGCCAAACAGGCGAGAACGCCGACATCCTTCAAAAACCTTTTGGATAATCGATAATACTTGCCTCTTGGGGCCATCTTAGGCCGCCTCTTGGGGGCTTTTTGCATGTTTCGGGGGTCGTCTTGACGCCATCTTAGGCCTCTTGGGGCGATCGTTCGGCAACTCGGGGCCTCTTGGACCGTGGTGTGGGCCTCTTGGGGCCCTCTGGGCTCGTGTTGGGGCCCGTGTGGGCCCGAGAGAGCTGTGCGAGAAGGGGCGTCGGATCCCCGACACGACGCGGCAGGCCCCCGGGAGAGCTAAGAACTTGGGCTCCGGGCCCCTTGATAATCCTCAGGGTTGGGGGTTGAGGCCGAAGGGAGTACGCAAAGGACCAATGGACACGCCCACTCCGTGCCCAGAGCCACAGTGGCGGATACGCAAACGTTTCGTTCGCTCCGCTGGCCCGTCTTGCATTGGTGTTGCTCTATTGGCGAGTTCGTGGCGAGCGGTGATGATGATGATCGTGCTGATGGTGTGGATGATGCTGTGGATGATGGTGATGATGATGATGATGATGTTGGTGATGATGATGACGATGACGATGATGACGATGATGATGATGGTAATGTTGGTGATGGTGATGATGCTGCTGCTGATGATGATTATGATGCTGATGCTGATGCTGATGGTGATGAGGAGGAGGATTATTATGAAGCTGATGCGGCTGATGATGATGATGATGGTGATGATGATTGTGACGCTAATGGAAATGAGGATGGTGATGGAGATGGAGATGGTGATGTTGTTGATGATGATGATGATTGTGGTGGTGGGGATGACGATGAGGATGATGCTGATGGTGATGATGGTGTTGATGGTGCTGATGGTGATGGTGGCGGTAATGGTGATGGTGGCGGTTATGCAAATGGTGATAGTCATGGTGACGGTGATGGTTGTGATGATGATGATTATCATGATGATGATGATGATGATGATGATGATGATGTT